TTTGGCCCGACTGCCAATCTACAATAGTATGGGTCCGACCGCCAATCCTCCCGACTTGCGAACTATCTGGCTTGAGGTCTTTCCGCCTTGAGGACTTTCCGACCTGAAAACCTTCCGACTTGAGGTCTTTCCGCCTTGAGGACTTCCCGACCTGAAAACCTTCCGACTTGAGGTCTTTCCGCCTTGAGGACTTCCCGACCTGAAAACCTTCCGACTTGAGGTCTTTCCGTCTTGAGGACCTCCCGACCTGAAAACCTTCCGACTTGAGGTCTTTCCCCCTTGAGGACTTCCCGACCTGAAAACCTTCCGACTTGAGGTCTTTCCGTCTTGAGGACCTCCCGACCTGAAAACCTTCCGATTTGAGGTCTTTCCGTCTTGAGGACCTCCCGACCTGAAAACCTTCCGACTTGAGGTCCTTCCGTCTTGAGGACCTACCGACCTGAGGTCCTTCCGTCCTAATGACTTTCCGTCTTGAAGACCTACCGACCTGAAGACCTTCCGACCTGAGGTCCTTCCGTCTTGAGGACCTACCGACCTGAGGTCCTTCCGACCTGAGGTCTTTCCGTCTTGAGGACCTACCGACCTGAGGTCCTTCCGACCTGAGGTCTTTCCGTCTTGAGGACTTACCGACCTGAGGTCCTTCCGTCCTAATGACTTTCCGTCTTGAAGACCTACCGACCTGAAGACCTTCCGACCTGAGGTCCTTCCGTCTTGAAGACCTACCGACCTGAGGTCCTTCCGACCTGAGGTCTTTCCGTCTTGAGGACTTACCGACCTGAGGTCCTTCCGTCCTAATGACTTTCCGTCTTGAGGACCTACCGACCAGAAGACCTTCCGACCTGAGGATTTTCCTTAGTAATAAACCTATTTTCCTTGATTTCCTCATGGTACCCTTCAGTCAGTTCAATCAATTATATTGCCAGGCCCATTCTTCTTTTTACCTTGGGCTTTTAACCTAATTCTAAATTTCGTACGTAACAATTTGATTTATGTTTTTTCTTTAATAAAAAAAAATGTTAATACGAGATGAATATATCTTTTAATAAATATAATATTTTCTCGGTTCATAAATAAATATTTATTTGTTTTTTATACGGAATTTTATATATTAATATTATATTAATATATAGTAGAAATAAATTAGAAATGATAAAAATAACGTTATTAGTATTATATGATATAAAACAATGATATTTGTGTAATATATTTGCAAATTGTAACAGTATTTGTAATGTTAAGTAGATAGTACAATTGTTAAAAAAAAATTGATATCTTATTATAGAACGGACTAAAAAAAAAGATAATTTATGATGGGACGAAAGGAGCACTGCTTCTTATACTAGTTGATTATAATATAAAATATTGATATTTTAAAAAATATATATGTGAAATAATAAAATAAGTGAATATTTTGGATAAAATGAATATGTAGTACTCCCTCCGTCCCGCGACAGATAATCTAGTTTTTTTGTCCCTCCCATAAAAGATGACATATTTTTATTTTTAGTAAATTTATTCATTTTAAACATATTTAATAAATATAAATTAATTTAATTAAAATGTTAACTTCTTATACATGGCCCACCCAAAACCTCTTTATTTCTATCTCTCTTCAATAAACAAATATTTTGTTGGACAATCTATCTGCGAAATCTAAGATATGACAAAATCCGAAAAATACAAATCAAATTGGATGCAAAATTAAATTCGAGCCTCGTGTGGCATGCGATTTCTTTGAAGCGAATTCGGCCCTCCACCAATCGCCATCCAGGATAGAACGAATTATCAACGAAATAAGAGATTCTGCTAACAGAATTAGAAGACATTTTGAAAGGAAAATTTGCATAGAATTTTCAGAGGATATTTGAAGGGAGATTTCTCAAAGAGTTTTTGAAAATTGTTTTTTTTTTTCTCTTCTTCAGAGGGAGGGAAAATATAATATATGTATATATATATAATTTTCAGATTATTTTGTATTTAATCGCGTGAAGAGAAAAACTGTCAACTTTTGCACGTTGCATTCAGCTGCAACATAATACTTTATCTGATTATTTAATTTTTCTAAGTCAAAATAAATTAATCAGATAAAATATGGGACAAATTATTTATTCCTCTTTCACATTTTTAATTAAATACCTAACAATCTCCCACATGAAAGAGGAAAACAATGACTCGATGAAAGAAATATTAATTTTCTATAGGATAAGTAGGTTTTTCTTTGAACTTTCTATTGAGCAGTACGTAGTCTTTACCAATTGTCCAGTGGATACGTTGTCCTTGAACTGTTCAATTTTTCTAATAAGTGTGTTCATACCGACACAAAATTCATATGCCTAGTTCGGTTCTCATTGTTTGGTCCATTTTGGCCATGGAACCCATCCCGGTTCAACGAGAGTTTCTAAAGAATTGAGTCTAAATAGTCCTCCTTTGAAGCGGCCTCACTTCTCTCTCACATAGGTGATCTTTCTAAGTTTTCGAGTGATACAACACTCACTTAGTGATCATTAAAGCAATTATTCGCTATTCTCTCTACTCTGTCATTGTTCGTAGACATGAATGAATTTAGGGTATTAGCCCCACAGTGACATACATAAACCTTATAGGTAGGTTGTCCCATTGAACCTAGTTTTGAGATTTTCAATCTTTTTAGGTTGAGTTTTCCTTTATAAAATTTTTTCCTTAGCAAACTTAAGTCTCATACCTCTAGTAAGCTTTTAAACTGCATCTCGATTTAACTATTTGGTTAGCGGATAAGCTAAATTATCTTTTAACACAACATGGTGTATCGCAATAACCATAGTTGTATTCAGTTGTCTTATGAAATTGTGTCGATTACATTGGCCTTGCTACCGAGCATCAGATGTTCTCTGCTTGCAATCTACGATCTATGCTCCTCATCAATTTGGAAACGATTGATCAGTCTTGCCATGTCAATTTCTTTCCCTTTGTATTTCAAGTAAATTTTGAAATCACCCCAACTATGCGGAATTTTTTTTTTTCATCATCTGCTGCTGCCATGTTTTTAAAATTCTAACCGTTGAATTTTTTTTGCTTCTTGGTTGTCGCAGCAATAGGATGTCTAAAAGTTGTAGCAACAGGCTGCATTACATGGTCTGCAATAACAACAATCTATATACCCTCTAAGTCATCTAATTGCTGTCTGGAAACGCAACGAGACTCTGCACAAATTCTGCAATCATATGTTGCAGACGAGGCAGAACAACAATAGTTTTTTTTTTTTTTTGGGCAACAGGATGGTTGGAGGTCGCAGCAATAAGTTGCACTTTCTTCATTACGGCCTTGAAGGCCTATTTGTACATTGTCTGCACAGCCTTTTCGGCAGCAACCCTCTTGGCTGCCTTACCGGTTGGGCAGGGTGGCTGAGATCATGAAACAAAGAAAACGGGAGTGTGAGACTTGCTGGAGTTAACCTTCTTGTTTTCCTCCCCATCTACGCCAATCTAAATATCATCATTCAGATTTGTATTTCTTCCATCATGCACAGAAAAGTGTGAGAGAGACAAAAGCACAATACATGTTGGGAACCACATTGCTTATCGAAGTCAATGCCACATTCAACCGCTATCTCTTGAATTAATTCCCAAGCCGATGAATCAGCTGCGAGAATCGAATCACGACCAGAATCAACAAATTCTAGTAATGATTCTGCGTTGATAGAACCGCCAAACCAATCAGTTCCTTTGAAATGACGATATTGCCCTTTCCACCTACCATCACATTCTTGAACACACGCATAACCGCCTCTGATTTGGCGTACCTCGGGAACTCCATCCTCTCTTATTCGGAGGCTTCCGAATCCAGATGGACTAAATAGTAATTTCGCGGGTGGTACAACACCTAGAGAAACCGCTTCAGCCGCTAGCCATTGCCGCATGTGCTAGAGATGAAATACGCGAATTGTAGCGGTTCAGGCAACGCTGCAGTCCGATTAATCGGGGAGGAAATGATGCTGGTCTTGGGCTGAGAAAAAATTAAGATGGAAACTAGGAGGATGGCGGCGAGCATTTCCTATTTGGAGGGTTGTGAGATCGTTTCATTACTTACAGAGAGTTCTCGCCAACGACTAATCGATCGATGGTGTGATTACATTTGTGCTGCAGCAAATCTTGAGGGTTAATGGATTGGGGGATTTTTTTTTTCGCCATTTCAGATTTCAAGAATTCGCTTCAAAATTGTTAGACAATCTATCTGCAAAATTGTTAGAAATCTGAGATATGACGAAATCTGATAGGATACGAATTCGGTCCTCCACCGATTGCCTTTCAGAATAGAATGAATTAGCAACGGAATAACAGATTCCACAAACCAAATTAGAATGCCTTTTTGGAAGGAAAATTTGCATAGAATTTTCGGAGGATATTTTTGAAGGGAGATTTCTCAAACAGTTTTTGAGAATTGATTTTTTTCCTTTTCGGGAGGAAAAATATAATATAAAAATAATACAAAAAATCTTTGCTATAAATTAAAAATATACTCCCTCCGTTCCTTAATATATTATCAATTTTTTTATTTTGGTCTGTCCCATAACAAAATATTCATTTCAATTTTTTTTTTAGTAATTGTACTATCTATCTAACAATTATATATACCTTTCAAATTTACAATATATTACACAAATGTTATTATCTTCGTATCATACAGTTAGTTTAATTTTTTAATTTTTTTATAGAAAATATGGGTAATTTTCTTATTTTTTTTAAGAAAATATGAGATGGAGAAAGTTTATTATTTTTTGGAAAAAAAAAACACATGCTTAGATTTGGTTCAACAATAGAGTATTTTATTTATAAAACATTATACAAAATATTTTATTTTTACATTTTTCAAAAATTTCAGAACAAAAAAAAAAAGAAAAAAAAAAAGACATTTATTCTAAAATCTTCAACTTATACATACATATCTCTATCGCTATCTCTATCCCTCTCTATCTCTATCCCTATCCGAACATCTTTATATATCTATATATACACATACATAATAAATTGGAAAGCCTTCTTAATTACAATGGAGCCGTCGCCGGACTGGCCGGAGCCGATAGTCCGGGTGCAATCCCTATCGGAATCCTGCCGGGACACCATCCCCGACCGATACATAAAGCCGCCGGAGGCCCGGCCCGCCACCTTATCCTCCACCACCGCCACCAGCAGCGACGCCAACATCCCCCTCGTAAACCTGGAGGGCCTGTACGGCCCCGACGCAGCCCTCCGGCAGGACACCCGGCGGCGCGTGTCGGAAGCGTGCCGCGAGTGGGGATTCTTCCAGATAACCAACCACGGCGTCCGGCCCGACCTCATGGACCGGGCCCAGCACGTGTGGCGCGAATTCTTCCACCTCCCCATGCCCCTCAAACAGCCCTACGCCAATTCCCCTAAAACCTACGAAGGCTACGGCAGCCGCCTCGGCGTCGAGAAGGCCGCCGTCCTCGACTGGAGCGACTACTACTACCTCCATTACCTCCCCTCGGAGCTCCGGGACCTTCGAAAATGGCCGGCCCTCCCCGCCGACCTCCGGTGCGTAACTAATTAAAAATGCGTGTTTTTAATTTCAATTAATCAGAAACGCGCTTTTTTCAATTTCGGCGTAACTGTAAGTAACTGTACGCCCGCCGCACCGCAGAGAGGTGATCGCGGAGTATTCGTCGGAGATTGTGAGGCTTGGCGGGGAGCTGCTGAAGGTCTTTTCGGTAAATTTGGGTCTGAGAGAGGATTCGTTGCAGACTGCGTTCGGCGGGGAGGAAATCGGGGCATGTTTACGGGTCAATTTTTACCCGAAATGCCCCCAACCCGATTTGGCACTCGGACTCTCCTCTCATTCGGATCCTGGCGGGATGACGTTCCTTCTGCCGGATCCGGATGTCCCGGGGCTCCAGGTCCGACGACCCGACGGGTGGGTCACCGTTAAACCCGTTCCTCATGCATTTATCGTCAACATTGGAGATCAGATTCAGGTATTTTTTTATTTAGTTTTTTGGAAATAATAATCTTTTTTAATCAAACACTATTTATTTATTTTTTTGTTAATAATATGACATGTAACAATTATTTATACATTTTTAACTATTTTTTTTCATATAAAATTGATATGTTTTTATTATTAGTGATAAAATTAATTATTATACTTTATATTATTAGTATATGATTGGTCAGAATGTCACTAGATATTCACTGGATACTCTAATAATATAAAAGGTATTCATTAATTTTTATGTCTAATATTTATTGAAAATTATAATTCTGATTAATAATAAAATTTAGAATAAAAAGTCAGAAAAGACAGCTATAGAATACGAGAGAGAGTGTGTACAGAGAGACGACAAATGTACACGAACTCTATTTTATTTTATTTTTTAACTATATAATTTAAAATAAATAAAATCCTTATAATACCAAAATAATATTAAAATATGATCATGTGTATAATATTCTTTTATATTTTGTCAAATATATCATAGAGTAATGTTATATCCCTTCTATTATAAAAATATTGTGTCAAAATACATATAAATATATATATTATAAATTATTAAATTCGTTCAATTTAAAAGTATATAGTTTTATCAATTTTTTATATTAGGTTAAAAAGATATATATTAAATTTTTTTTTATTTTTATATGAATTAAAAATATATTATTATATAAATCATTAATAATTACGTAAAGTATAAAAAGTAAGCAAGTCAAAATTATTTATATATTAATAAAATATTATTATTTTTTTATTTGCTTAAAAAAACAAAAATAGAATTTTAGTTAAAAATGAAAAGTAGGGAGTATCAAACTATAAAAGTAAAATATATATATATAATATTGCATGTTTTTTTTGCTTTATTTTTTTTGTCTTAGTATTTAAATTTAAATTTAAATTAATACTATTATTTAGTCCGTATAATTTTTAATAAAAATATAATTATATTTAATAAAATATTATATAAAAATAATCATATCATCCAAATCAAGACGTAAAGATAAATGTTATTATTTTTATATATATATAAAAAAGTATTAATAGTAAAAAATATTGAAAGAAAAAAATATACAAAATAAAACTCAAAGGAACTGTTGAATATTATAGTTGTTAGTCTTTACATTATAGTAATTCAAATTTATGTCAATTTTTTTTAAAGAGTTATACGTTTTTTTTTAATAAAAACATCTACTACTATAAAAATAAAAGGTTACTATTATACTCCATCTGTCCCATTGAAAATTTATCATTTTTCATTTTTGTCCGTCCCAAAACAAAGTTATTATTTTCTAATTTAGTAATTGTACTACCTACTTAACATAATAAATACATTTAACTTACTATATATTACACAAATGTCGTTACTTTTATATTACACCATACTAATAGCGGTATTTTTGTCCTTTTTACTACAATTCAATATAATACTGAACGTGCAAAAAGCAAACGCCACCCTTCCAACGGGACGGAGGAGTAATATATTTATATTAAAATTTATATCTAACCAAATAGACATTGATGAAAAGAGTATTTATTATATATATATATATATAGATATTAAAATGTTTATGTACACATGTTTTATGTGTTTTCGAAAGAAAAAAAAATCTCCTACGGAAAATAATATATTAATTTTTTTATTTGATTATTCGGCATATATATTGTTTTATCTGTTTTTGTCAAATAATATTATTACAATTCAGTATATTTATAAGAATAATGACTCAATTATTTAAAAAAATTATATATACTTTTGTCTTTTTATAATCTTTTGGTATCTATTTTTATTTGAATATAATATTTTATAAAAAAATAATTTATTTAGATATATATATTATTTTATTTGTTTTTGTCAAATAATATTATTATAATTCAATATTTTATAAGAATAACGGCTCAATAATTTAAAAAAGTTATATATATATATTTTTGTCCTTTTATAATCTTTTGCTATCTATTTATTGGAATATAATATTTTATAAAAAAAAAATAATTTAAGTAATTAATGACCTAAGAGGTTTCTTAAGATTTATAAATTGGATTAGTCAAATATGTAATGATGCATAATAATAGAACAATAAATTGCACACTACAAGAATTGATGTAACACCTACATTTTAATATTTATCTTAAAAAATCAACATTTGTACTTATATAATAATATATAAATAAATTGTATTTTCTCCCTATGTGAAAATTACAGTATTAGTTTTTTTTTTTGTTTTTTTTTACCCCATTAAACTTATGCAGTAAAAAATAAATATATTTATAATTTTATTATTTTTATTTCACCAAATAGCAATTATTACAAACACAAACTTTAGGATTCGTTTACTTGTATTTTAAACTTTACCTTTACATTATTAAGAAAAATATTTATTTCGGTAAAACTTATAGATTCGTTGACTTAGTACTTTTGGATAATTTATTTTTATTTATTTATTTATTTATTTTTATGTTAGGTATAAGGATATTCTCTCTGTTTCGCTTGAATTTATCTATTTATGGTGTCTTTGTTTCGGGGTTGAATTTTGAGTTGAGATTTAGATATTAAAAATTTTGAATTTTAATAGTTGTATAGTGTGATATAAATAGGGGTTGATGTGATGTTTTGAATGTAAAATTGATTTTTAGTATAATATAAAAAATTAAAAATAGGTGTTTGATTTGATATCTTTGGGGAAAAAATGGGATGAATAGTAGAAGTCCACCAAAATCCTTCAAACAAACACACCCTTAGAATTTTGTATTAAATTAATTAGTTAGTAAAAATATGTAAGATATTTTGACATTTTTGTTCTTTAATTTTATTAAAATAAGAAAGATATATTTTTAGAAGGATAAATAAAAATGATAAAAAAAAATGTATTTGAATTTAGAAGGAAAAATAATATTTTGTATTGAATTATTAACTTTTTTAGTATATAATATATATTGTGTTAATATAAATATATATTTTATTTTTTATAATAATTATAGAAAATCGTATCATTCAATAATATTAGATGAATAAACTCATTATATTCAACACTTATTCTTCATTTAATTAAATATTTTTTATTTAAAATATTGCATCAAGTATCTATTTTATATTACAATAATATTTACTTTCTACTCAACTTGCGGCTATTTATTAAAAAATAATTAAAATACTTTCAAAAACATATCTAAATACACTTATTTTGTAGATTAATAATTCCTCCGTCCACTACCAATTTTTCATTTTTCATTTAAATTTGTCCAAATAAAAAAATTACCTTTTTAAAAAAAGTAACTCTCAATTAAATATCGAAATATTACTATTATTTTTTTATATTTTCATATTATTTTTGAAGAATAAAATAAATATATTATTTTATTATACTTTATATCTATAAAATATTAAATTTTTCTTAATTTTCTTACAAAAATAAAACAAAAAATTTACCATCCACATGATTATATATATCTACATACTAAAAAAGGAATGTATTATAATTTCCTGAAAAAGAAAAATAAATTAAATCTCCCCACCCCACAACGCCACTCCTCTCTCTCTCTCTCTTCTCTTTCTCTCTCTCTCTCTCTTCTCTCTCTATATTTGTATATTATATCAAATTTATATTATTATTATTTTTTAAATTTTTCACTAAATTTATATCTATTTTATTTTATTTATAGTAAATAATTTTAGCTCTTAATTTTACTAATTAGCATATTTTAACAAATAATATATTATTCCATCACTTTTTATTAATTTTTTAATAAACTTATCATAATATTTTAATTTTATTTATTTATTTCACTTTATATTGAAATACTAATATCTCTGCTTTTAATGGTCACATACACGTTTTGCGTCATTTTATTTAATATTAAAAAAATATTCTTATATCTGTATAATTTTTTGTACAAATGTCATTCTATTAGTATTATATGACACTAATAGAGATATTTTTTCAATTTTTTTTTAATTTATACTATATTTTGATATAATAATTAATATTCAAATATCAACGCACAAAAAGTAAATGAGAGGCGGACGAAGATAATATTATATTTAAAGTCTTTCTATTTTAAAAAACTTACATATATTTGACATTCAGATAAAATATTTATTAGTATGAAAAATAGGTAGACATCTCTTTGCAGATTTGAAAAGCAATAATTTTTTGTGAAATAATGCATCCCCACATAATAATAATAATAATAATAATAATAATAATAATAATAATAATAATAATGGTTGATGTAAAAATATGGTCCAAAATGAAATTGAATAAAATAAAAAAAATAATATAGAAGGGAAAAAAAGTAAGTGTAATACTAGGAAACGGAATGAATGGTGACAATATCACAATACAATAAACGTGCTTATTTATTTATTTATTTATTATTTGGAGCCTCGAAATAAATATGATATAATATAATATAGATAGTGGTTGTCAAATGTGATACGTTTCATCTATTTTGAAAAATTAAAAAAATAAAAAAACCTTTCTTTGAATGTGATAATTTAATTAATGGTGGACCCTAAATTAAATAAGAAATAATTTTACATATTTTGGCTGTCCTTTTTCTTAAGTTTCAATTAAATAGAGATTTTCTTTTTTTTTTATAATTTTTTATTTGTTTTAAAGATAATAAAAAAAATAATTTGATGTGATGGTTTATAAAATAAAATAAATATTTTTTTATATAAAATATAAATTTGTAAAAATGTATGCTTACTTTTTCCCATTCCATCACTCATTCAAATACTATTATTATCATTATTATCACTATTTTGTCACATTTATTCCAAAATTGTTTGGTTAGGGTCCCCATGTTAATAAGATTTAAATTAATTTATATATATATTAGAAGTATTTTTTAGTGGTTTAAGTTGATTTCAAATTAGTCAAATTTTTAAAGAAAATAGACATCGAATATAATATTTTAAATGAAAATGATAGTTTTTTTATTTATTTAAAATATTTTATCAAGTAATATTTTGATTTAATTTTTTATTATTCACAAACCTCTAACTGAACACACCCTGGGATATTATAGAAATAGAAAAAACATTTAGTGTGATTTATATTTTATCTATAATATTTTAAATAATAAATATTTTTTTCCATTATTATTATTATTATTATTATTATTATTATTATTATTATTATTATTATTATTATCATAATTAAAACTTCTCCCATATCTCTCTTTCCTAACAAATCATTTAATAATGCATCATACTATTCATTAATTTTTACTTTTATTTTTAAACCATAGGTTAAAATAATCATTTTTTATTCAATATAAACTTAAATATCTATTTATATTAGAGTAAAAATTAATTTTGATTCCAATCAAACATGTTCTTCTCATTTTTGGTCTTATTCAAAATTAATTATCAAAATTAATTTCATATAAAAAATAAATTATCATTTTTAGTTCCTCCGTTGAAATTTTAATGAAATAGGCTAACGTGGCAATAACGGAGGTTGATGTGGCAAGTTATCTGAAACAAACACGACCGTGTTAAATATAACATGAACGTGTTATTTCAATTAAATAATAAATCATTATATTTATACCCACACGAGCGTATTCAAATTAAAGCAGTAATTAAAATTTTAAAAAGACAGCTGGGTAAGTTTCATAGTAATTAGATGGCCCCACTTAATATAAATATATTTAATAATTTGACAATAATTTTTTTTAATTTAATATATTTAATTATATATACATTATCTCGTGCATTTAGTAACATTTAAAATTAATTTTTATTTTTCTATGCACCAAAAATACCACTTTTTATTTTTATTTTGTCTTCAGATTTTTTTTTTTTCCTGTTACATAATAAAATGATCTATTTTTATTTTAGTAAAATTATTAATTTTAAATACACTTAATAAATATATATTAATTTAATTAAATTTATGATCTCTTACTCATAGGATCATTCAAATATTTTTTATTTTTATATCTCAATAAACAAATATTTTTATCTATTTTTAATTTTTTTTATATATAAAATTAATTTATGATAACTATAAATAAACAAATATATTTATTATTTATTTGTACTATATCAAATTTTATTCTTGACTATTTATATTAAAAATAATAAAATAAATGTATTTAAAATTGATGAATTCACAAAAGATTAAAAACAAATTATCTTTTGTAAAACAAAAAAATAAAAATAAAAATGATCATCTGGGATATTATATTTTCAGACAAAAAAATAAAAATAAAAATGATATTTTTGTGTGCATAAAAGAAATTTATTTTAAATATTACTAAATACATAAAATAATTTATATGTTATTAAATATAGTATTAAATTTTAAAAATAAATATTATAATTAAATTGTTAAATATATTTATATTAACCGTGGGACTCACCCTCATTAATAGGTCTGATCCAACAGCTTTTTTAAATTTTTAATTACTGCTTTAATTTGAACACGCACTTGTTGGTATAAATACAGTGATATATTGTTTAATTGAAATAAGACGACCGTGTTTGTTTCAGATCATTTGCCACATCAACCTCCGTTATTGCCACGTCAGTCTTTTCCGTTGAAATTTCAACGGTGGGACTAAAAATAATAATTTATTTTTTGTATGAGATTAATTTTGATAATTAATTTTGGATGGGACAAAAATGAAAAAAACATGTTTGATTGGGATCAAAATTAATTATTACTCTTTATATTATATAGAAAAATATTTTAATTCAATTTCACAAATTCGAACTCACATTCAAACTTAAGGAAACACATCCTTAATTTTTTTTTTTTTTAAAAAAATATTATAGAAATATAAATAAATAAATTAATAAATGTTTGATATAAATAAAAATATATATTTATTTTGATATATATTTCAAATAAAATCTATAAATAGTGCATGCCAAAAAATACCTACATCCAAAGGCATCTTATCTCAATACTCCTGTATCATATATATATATATATATTTATTTCAATTTATTTGGAATTGAATTAATTAATTTGCAGATACTAAGTAACGCAATTTATAAGAGCGTGGAACATCGGGTGATCGTCAACTCAACTCAAGAGCGACTATCGTTGGCCTATTTTTACAACCCGAAAAGTAATATACCGATACAACCTCTGGAGGAAGTCGTAAAACCAGGCGAGACGGCGTCGTATTCGGCCATGACTTTCGACGAATATAGAATGTACATTAGGACTAAAGGTCCCAAAGGAAAATCTCAATTGGGAGCTTCCTTTAAATGTACAAGATAGGAATTGATACTATAAGTTAAATTTATGTGAATTTTATTAGTGTTAGTGGCAAATAGATTGATTATTATTTAATCAATTGCCAAATAGAAATGATTGAGATTGTAAACAATAATTATAATTATAATTTATCATATTTCAAATTATAATTAATTAATTTTTTTTTATACTGATTATAATTTATCATATTTATAATATAATTAATAATATAATATAATGTTACGAGTCGTTATACATTCATATAGGTGTTATAATATTGTAATGTCACATGGTTTAATGTGGTAACTGATCATTTTTTAATTGTTTATATAAAGGCTTCGTACTTGATGAAATGAAGGTGATAAATGTACTGATAATACGCAGCTAGATGTATATGATTTTCTAGTATACCCTGAAGGTGGGTACTATGAAAATCCCGGAAATACATGCATATAGATATGTGTATATATTTTTGTAACACATGTAGTTTTTGCTCCCTATTTTTTTTAATGATACGAAAGCTATGTATTTTCTCCAAATTTTTGATATATTTATTCTTATATTTCTCTCAGAAGAAAAAATATGAATGTTGAGCACGTTATAATAAATAATATGGAAGACAGTTCATGTCTCATTGATAGTGCATCAACACACACCATTTTGAAATATAAGAAATATTTCACCAACCTGAAGTTAGAGAAAAGGTGAATACCATAAGTGGTTGTGCGAAGTTAATTGAGGGCTCTGGAAGAGCGATAATATTTCTCCCCGAATGAGTAAAACTTGATATCCAAAATGCACTATATTCTAGTAAATCTCAAAGAAATTTGTTGAGTTTTAATGATATTCGCAGAAATGGATATCATATTGAGACATCAAGTGAGGCAAATAATGAATTTTTGTTGATTACAAAATTCATTGATGGACATAAATATATATTAGAAAAATTGCCTTCATTGTCTTTCGGATTATATTGCACAAAGATTAATGTGGTTGAAACATATTTGGTAGACAGAAGTCTACAAATTTTATAATTTGGCATGACCGGTTTGGGCATCCCGGTAACACTATGATGAGACAAATTATTGAAAATTCTAATGGTCATAACTTGAAAAATTAAAGGGTATTTGTTGATGTAATTTTTCAACAAAAATAAAGTAAAATTCAAAGATATAGAAAATATCCTTAAACTTGATTAATTAGTGCCTGAGATTAGGAATCTCTAAACACTGTATGGTACAGAAAATAAACTGGAAAATAAAAGACTGAAATTTAAAGTGGTGATCCCCAAATCTGACTTTGCTTTGTTGAAGTTGATTGAAGATGCCCTGCCAAATGATTATCCAAGCCTTTAAATATTCTCTGGGAAACCGTATCGAAAACCGTCACCCGAACGGTTACAACGTCTCCTTCCCAACCGTCTTCCAACCCTTCTTATGCTGACACGCGTCCCCAGCAGACCAAAATTATCCCTATATTTCACTCTTTGAGCCGACCACAGACCTTCCGCTCTTTTGGCCCGACTGCCAATCTACAATAGTATGGGTCCGACCGCCAATCCTCCCGACTTGCGAATCATCTGGCTTGAGGTCTTTCCGCCTTGAGGACTTCCCGACCTGAAAACCTTCCGACTTGAGGTCTTTCCGCCTTGAAGACTTCCCGACCTGAAAACCTTCCGACTTGAGGTCTTTCCGCCTTGAGGACTTCCCGACCTGAAAACCTTCCGACTTGAGGTCTTTCCGCCTTGAAGACTTCCCGACCTGAAAACCTTCCGACTTGAGGTCTTTCCGCCTTGAGGACTTCCCGACCTGAAAACCTTCCGACTTGAGGTCTTTCCGCCTTGAAGACTTCCCGACCTGAAAACCTTCCGACTTGAGGTCTTTCCGTCTTGAGGACTTCCCGACCTGAAAACCTGCCGACTTGAGGTCCTTCCGTCTTGAGGACCTACCGACCTGAGGTCCTTCCGTCCTAATGACTTTCCGTCTTGAAGACCTACCGACCTGAAGACCTTCCGACCTGAGGTCCTTCCGTCTTGAGGACTTACCGACCTGAGGTCCTTCCGTCCTAATGACTTTCCGTCTTGAAGACCTACCGACCTGAAGACCTTCCGACCTGAGGTCCTTCCGTCTTGAGGACCTACCGACCTGAGGTCCTTCCGACCTGAGGTCCTTCCGTCTTGAGGACCTACCGACCTGAAGACCTTCCGACCTGAGGTCCTTCCGTCTTGAGGACCTACCGACCTGAGGTCCTTCCGACCTGAGGTCCTTCCGTCTTGAGGACCTACCGACCTGAAGACCTTCCGACCTGAGGACTTTCCTTAGTAATAAACCTATTTTCCTTGATTTCCTCATGGTACCCTTCAGTCAGTTCAATCAACTCTATTGCCAGGCCCATTCTTCTTTTTACCTTGGGCTTTTAACCTAATTCTAAATTTCGTACGTAACAACTTGCCCGCCGCCAAGGGACTTTCAAACGCCATTTAACAATCAATGTTTGGAAGTTCATAAACCACTACCTTCTTGAAAAACTCCCTTAGCAACTGCACCGGTTACTGCAACGCTCCTGATTAACTTCCTTCTCCGCAATACAAGCTTTTGTGAATCACAATCCCAAAACACTCTAACCATGGCAAATCAATACATTCCTGCCCTTCCCTTCGATGGAACCCTCCCGGAGGGCCCATTTTCAGCCTCGAAAGTACTGACTCCGACGATCCGTCCATATTGCACTACTCCTGAAGATTCAAATCGGATGAGGGAAGTCTTGGAATCCCGAAATTCCTTGGCTATCAACAGCCCTAACTACCAAGCAGTTCGCATTCGAGACAGCATCAAAACCCATCTCACAGACCCAAAAGATCCTTACCGCGCTTGGTATCGACGGGTAGCAGAACACTTCCAGACCCAATGGCGTTCCCAAAAGATCGACCAAGCAATACTACTGTCCACCATGCCTATCAACCTGCATGAGAAGGTGTTGTTGGCCATGTCTGCCTTCTGGAATGCGGAAAATGGGACTTTCCTCTTCCCATCGGGCCCCTTTGGCCCAACTCTTATGGATGTTGCAATGATCGCGCATCTCCCAGTCGTGGGTGAAGACCCTGTAATGGGAGCCCTAGATGGGCAGGAGCCACCAGAAGACCATCCAGGGTGGTCTTTACAAGGTGTGAAGGAATGGGGTTGGACAAAGTTCGCAACCGACCAGCAAGGGGCTCCAGGGACCCCTGTAACCGACCGGGAGCATACTGCCTTTATCCTTTTTTGGCTTTGTAGGTACGTCATTGTTTCCCCTTCCAAATGTGTTCTTCCTTCTCATCTCGACCTAGCCATTCATATCGCGTCAGGTCGTTTTTTCTCTCTTGGCACCCTGTTTTTAGCCAATCTGTTTGAAGGACTCACTAGAGTTAGCCTTCGTTTAACAGATAATGATAATAGGAAATTAGACACTGCCGCGTCGGGTCCTTTTTGGTTTTTAGAACTTTGGTTCCGGCTCTACTTCCCCAACGCGTTTAACTTAGGATCTCCGCCCACTATGCCAACAGCTGAAAAACATTTGGGATTAGCCCTTAACCGACTCTGCTCAGGACGCAATAACCTCCAATCTTCCGATCCAATAATAATCGCAGTTTTAACAGATACCCGCAGTAACTCTCGATTTTCTATGTATAAAAAATATGCGGGCTATGCTCCCGACCATTTTTGGCCTTTTCCAGTACCAAATCCGCTTCCGACTCCTGAGCCTTGTCCTCATTCCACTTATCCTTTTGCCTGGGACGTTGCCCTCAAACCCAGGTCTCTTTTTAGTAGCAAAAAACTTGATAAAAAAGGGCAGAAAACCTTTTACACTTTTAATTATGAACCTCAATTCATGGCGCGCCAGTTCGGCTGTTGCCAAAGTATCCCTGGACCCGTCGCGTGTCCGCATATAATTTTTCAAAGCCCTGACCGACGAGTCCTACCGAATTCAATCCCTTCTTATATCTCCCAGCTCACCACGTATATAATTTCCAATTCTTATATTCCTTTCCGCTCCAACCCTGAGACTGTAGAAACATTCAATGAATGGTGGTCGGTTGTATAGCCCCTGATCTCCCCTGATGAGGGTCGGTTGCTGAACATACTCCTTCCCCCCCAAGGATTGGTTCTAGGGGCGGCTAGACACACTAGCACTCAACAACAAACAGCCGCCCCGGGGACCGGGTCTAGTGTTCCAACGCGAAAAAGGAAGGCGTCCCGGCTGCCAACACCCCCGACCTCTGGGGCCGACCAGCAAGCTCCAGCGGACCTTGGAACTACTAAAACATCAGCAAGGATCCGACCCCGAATAGGTAATTTTTCTTAAAACCGTGAACCAATTCACTATATCTTAACTTTGATTTCACATATCATTCACCAGAACTGACCTTGGCAGCACCGACCACACAACCGACGCCAACCCCAGCCGACCAACCTTTGGTCCCGACTGAGGCAGTTCCTCTCCAAACCCCTACTCCACTTCTCACTTTGCCAATGAGCAGTCGGACGGAGGACCCGACGAAGAGGCAAACTCTTCCTCCCGTACCGAGGAGTGGTCGGGCTAGGCACCCGACCAGGAGGCAATCTTTACCAATTGTGCCTATAGAACCAGTAAGTTCTCTCATCAGCAATACTTAGGATTCTAATGATCAACCCTAATATATTTAACAACCAACATTTCATGATTTTTTCACAGACACCTTCACCCATCGGATCAGCAGCAGGGGTCTCTTCTGACAGCGAGGGAACTACTTCCCAGATGGGTCGACCGCCATACATAGCATCAGACTCATCCATGTCAAAGGAAGAACCAGCCGCCCTCGCCGAAGCTGACCCTCAAAACGACATTCCTGATGCTGCTGATCCCGAAATCGAAGGTGCCCCAGAGATCCCGGCTGCAGCGGCACTAGACGCAGCCGCCCAACCAGCAGCGGCGCTACCTCCAGCAATCGAATGGCAGGCAGAAAAACCACCTGTGGCAGCCCAACATCCAGAAATGGAAGAAGTTTCGTCATCCGATTCGGAAACTTCTGTAAATTTGGTAAGATTACACCAATCCATGCCACAATGTTTCCCTCAGAAAACACTAACTGTATTATATACCGCGTTTCATAGGGACCCAGGTCGGCACCTCAGCGACCATTCGCAGCAGCCGACGAGTCGGCTGCTATTAT